TAGTCTCAAGCGCTGTGAGTGGCTCGTGTCCAATTGAGCCGTGTCCAACTGGGTGCCACCCCTCAACATCTTCGCTTTCTGTCTTTTTAACGTTCAAATATATATCTATATCTCATTTTAAGTGCAAAAATATTTGGGGATTTCAAACGGGGTGATCCCGATTGATCACGGCTCGATTGGATACCATCAATCACAGCGACCGGTGCTTAGGAGCTTTGTAGTCTCAAGCGCTGTGAGTGACTCGTGTCCAGTTGAGCTGTGTCCAACTGTGTGCCACCTTTTCAAATAACGTGAACAGACTATTTTTTTTAATAATGTAAGTCGAGACGTGGTTAATATTAAAAACAATACAAAATCAAAGGCATTGAACCACTACGCCAGTTATCGTCAGCGAAAAAGATGTGTTTTATAAAATTTATTACAAGACGTTTCGGTCTAAATTAGACCATCTTCAGTTAACATTAATAAACAAAGTAAGTAGAATTAAACAAAAATTGGTATGACGATAGAGTTTTCTACAAGTCAAAGTAGTTATTAGAATTATACAAGTTTTGTTAATACAATGATTCGCGTTCTTTCTTAATTTAACAATTATTCTTCAATAACAATTTTCTTTCGTATGTCAGTAAGTATTCAATTACAGAAAAATCCATCCAATTACTTGAAAAATTTTTTCAGCGATGTACGAAATTGAACGCTAGATTCCCCGATTCTGTGTTGACAATATTTCGCAGCACGTACAAGATTTGGAATTTTGGATATGAAGATCTTGTGATTTATAATTGAAATGAATATTTTTTTTAATTTCAAAGTTTTTTGATGTTGGTAAGTTAAAAAATGATAATTTAATGATAATTTATGACTATGCATATGTATGTATTTTTTAATAAATATGAATACATTTACTTTTTAATCAAATAAAATGAAATTTTATAGAAATTAGAATTTCTGCACTAAAAATAAAATGTGCATACGTATGTTTAGTATGCATTATCATGTGGTATGTACGTTCTTCCAACTTTTCCCGCAATAGCACTCGAATCGCATCATCGCCATTATCCCGATTTTCAAGTTACCTAAACACGTACATGCACGTACATGTTTCAAGTTTACTTTTGATCTTCATCTTCGAGTTTTGCCTGGTCTACAATAAGACATAAGTTGATAGTCAGTGAATTGCAGTGAATCGAAAACGAGTCTGCAAGATAATAGGTGAGTCGGAAATGATCGAAATTAATAAATCGGTAGACTTGACTAGAGTCCCTATACTAAGAGTCTGGCCAATGTTGTCATTCAGTCTATTGGTTTTGACAAAATATGGCGGAGCCAATGAAGTGTCTCAAATTAATATCTTGGACGCGGTATTATTCAACTAGTACGAATAAACCAATAATGTAATAAACCTGTTTTTAACAATTTTTTAAATGTGAAAATATAAATATAATTTCAATTAAGTCATAAATAAATAATTATATCATTTAAAAGCAGCATTATTATTAAACAGCACCAGTATTATTCAATTAGTGGGACAATAAGATAATAAACTTGTTTTTAACATTTTATTTAATGTAAAAATACAAATACAAATAAATTTTGATTGTATTCATAAGTAAATATATTCTTTTATAAGTAAATATATCATTTTAATGTATTTATAAGTAAATTATATCATTTAACAGCTGCATGCCTAGCCATAGTTTTACTATTATAATTCTTATTTTTTAATCATCCTTTGTTGCAATCAATTTTTATGCGAAATGTAATATACCGTTTCATTATTCTATCATATAAATTACAACAAGATTTTAATTTATCACAGTTAATATTAATCATTTTTGCAATAAAAAATTGTATTAAATTATGATTTTTATTTTTAATATAAGGTAGATATTTTTTAAGAATAACTTCCATTTGATAAAAGTAAAATCGAAAGTTTCCGTGTTTATAAAAAACAATGTTTTCTCTCTATAACACTTTAAACGTACTAATTTTGAATACGTAATATTGCGCTTAAATGTTGTCGATCCAGGTAAATCAATACAAGATTTACAAACTGTGGGAACCTTAGATATTTTATGAATAATATAACCAGCAAGAGTATATAATATATTTAAAGCGACATTGTTTATATAAATTTGCTGTTGTTCAACATAAATAGGAATTATAGGAATTTCGTACGATGTATTATGATTCTTATTTTTTGGGCGATTTTGTAAAAAATTAACAAGTAAATTATCCTCGTCTTGTTCGTAATTAGTGTTATGTACAGTTTGTAAATATTGTGAAACGCTATGAATTTTCAAAGCTTGTTTGAATTGTAATGCATTGGGCACTGGAAATTTTTTTCTTATGTTTGAAAATAAGTTTTCAATACAATCTTGTGTAAATCTTGCGCCTAACACATATCAATATTTCCGTTCGATAATCAAATAATTTGTCAGTTCTATGAGAGACATAGTAGAGATCATAATACCGCATTGTACGGGTTTAAATTTTTCCTCTTGTCCGATTTTAATATTTCGAAATAGGTCAATAACTGATTTAAAAAACTGTTCAGTTTCATGAAATTTATTCTGATTTTTGTTCTCCTTCTATTATTCCTAATGCAGTTGAGTATGTTCGAGAAGTAATCACATTAAACCATTTTGACACAATTTCAATAAATAAGGCAGTTGTTTTATATTCGTTTATATTACGTTCTTCTAGAAATTTCAATGCGCTACTAACATTTCTATTGTACAAAGTGGTTGCCGTATTGACTTTCATTTTGTTAAAATTAGTCAAAGTAATACTAGTTAATCTCGTTGCTAATTTGAACGTGACGTTTTCTTGTTCAGCAACTAATTTTTCGACATGTGAACATTTAACAATGGCTGAAGATAGTTCATAAATATCTGAAAAATTCTGTGGCAATGTTATAATTTTATTATTTATCAACACAGAACGAAGATTTTTTAATAAATGTGGAGCATCAGCGAAAAAGAATAGCTTTCGGCTATCATCCAGTGGATGTGTTACAGAGTTTTTAATGTTGGAATACTTTGTTGCAGATATATTTTCGAAAGCTCTTCACATAGCCTGATGAACTCACCTATGTTGTACTATGAATTTTAAGATCTATTAATTCGGCCTTTTCAATTATTTTAAGAATAAATTCTTTCAAAATTTTACCATTAAATCCGTTAGGAGTGTAATAATAGGCCACAATTTGTTTCCATCGTACAAATACCAGGTATGTAAATATGAAACCGGAATTTACCAATAGATGGCCATAGCTGTCAATGTAGTTGTCGTCAGACCGTGTCATTGACGTAATTTCCTTGTTCTGACATCTGACAAAGATTTTCAACTCATAACAATACAAGTTTCATACAACAGTATAGTTTGTAATAGCATTGAACATGTCGAATTTTGTGCCTGGAAACTACGATTTGCGGACAGCATTGATTTTCTGTTATCATTTGAAGAAAACTGCTGCAGAATCGCATCGAATGCTTGTCGAAACTTACGGTAAGCATGCTCTCGGTAAATCACAGTGCTTTGAGTGGTTTAAAAAATTCAAAAGTGGCGATTTTATGTGAGAAACGAAGAACGTGGAAAACGACCAAAAAAGTTTGAAGACAGCGAATTGCAAGCATTGTTGGATGAGGATGACGCTCAAATTAAACAACAACTCGCGGATCAATTGAATGTGACACGAGAAGCCGTCTCCATACGTTTGAAATCCATGGGAAAGATCCAGAAGATGGGAAAATGGGTTCCACATGAATTGAATGAAAGACAGCAGGAAAACCGAAAAACACTTGCGAAATGCTACTCGCCAGGTACAAAAGAAAGTCATTTCTTCATCGAATTGTGACTAGCGATGAAAAGTGGATATATTTTGAGAATCCTAAGCATAAAAGATCATGGGTAACTTCAGGCGAACCATCGACATCGACTGCAAGGCCAAATCGCTATGGACGGAAGACAATGCTCTGTGTTTGATGGGATCAGAAAGGTGTGATCTATTATGGGCTGCTAAAACCTGGCGAAACCGTTAATACTGAACGCTACCGACAACAAATGGTCAATTTGAATCAAGCTTTGCGTGAAAAACGACCGGAATATCAAAAAAGGCAACCCAAAGTGATTTTGCTTCATGATAATGCACCATCAATGTGACGTCCGAAGTCGCGGGTCTGTCGCGATCGTTGTGTTTAGACGCGGCACGAGTTTCGTGGGACGCGGGCGCGGAGCGGGGCGCGCAGGGCGAAGCCTTAGCTCCTACAGAGATATTGTTTTCGATAGCTGTTTTTACGTGTATTGGGGCAGGTGTCACCAGTGCCTTTCGTAACGGCACAAATTCTTGTCATTATACTGAGATTCGCGAGGAAGCTTTAATTTAGTACGGGCTCCTTCGAGGTCCTTCGTTGAGAAAATAATATGGAGTGTCAGAGGAGTTGTCAGATTTTGTAAGCGCCCTAGTGTGCTATGAGCACTAGTAAACATGGAGATTATAATCTCTCGAGAGGGCAGCTGTATGATTGATCATCATATTACTCACTCTATCTACTTTCTCC